TACAATAGATTGAGGGAGAAGACAATTAGACTCACTACAGAGGTATGAATTTTTTTTTTTTACCTTATCAGTGTAGAGACAGTTGTTTTATAGAAACTTGGAAGTTATAATGAAGTTATTTCTGGTTCAAATGCAGATTAATGAATTGGTGCTATAGGTGAAGAAATTGAGTCATTTCACAAGAATCAGATTTGGGAGTTTGTGTCATTGCTAAAGAGACAGAAAGTAGTAGGTTATAAATGGATTTTTAAGAAAAAAACAATCCATTTTGAAGGCAAAAGTGCCTCGATACAAGGCCCAATTAGTAGCTAAAGGTTTTACTCAACAAAAAAGGATTGACTTCAATGAAGTGTTTTACCCATTTGTGAAATACAGTCCCATTAGGGTCTTACTTACTATGGTTGCTCTTCATGATTTAGAGCTGGAGCAATTAGATATAAAAATTGTCTTTCTACATGGTGAATTGGAGGAGCATATCTATATGAATTAACCTAAGGGATTAGTCATTCCAGGTATGAAAAAATATGTTTATGTACTTAAGAAATTTTTGTATGATTTGAAACAGTTGCCTAGACAAGGGTACAAGAGATTTGATACATTCATGAAATAAAATAGTTTCATTCGTAGTGCCTATGACATTTACGTGTATCATAAGAGATTCTTAGAGGATTTTTCTATTTATTTGCTATTATATGTAGATGACATATTTATTGCTTCTAAAACTATATCATATATTGATACTCTAAAAAGTAGTTGGGTGAAAAGTTTGAAAAGATTTGGGTATTACAAGGAAGATACTAGGAATGGAGATTACTTGGGATAAAAGTGTTGGAAATCTTTTTTTGTCTCAGCAATGATATATTAAGAAAGTATTACAATGTTTCAATATGAGTAATGCAAAGTTTGTAACTATTTCATTTAGTATCCACTTCAAATTTTTTGCACACATATCATCGAAGACAGATGAAGACATGGAACATACGTCTAATATTCTATACTCGAGTGCTGTAGATAACATCATGTATGTCATAGTTTGTACTCGTCCTGATATTTCACATGTAGTTAGTGTAGTGAGTAAATACATGACATATTTTAAGAAATAACATTAGTAACTAATGAAATGGATTCTAAAATATTTAAAAGGTATAGTAGATGTAGGTTTGATATTTGACAAAGGCAAGATGAGTGACTCAGTTGTAGGTTATGTGGATTCAGACTATGCAGCAGATTTGGATAGGAGGAGATCTCTGATAGGTTATATGTTTACTCTATATAGAAGTGTAATTAGCTAGAAGGCAATGTTACAAGCTACAATAGCCTTGTCTACCACAAAGGCTGAATATATAGCTCTAATAAAAATAGTAAAAGAGGCTATTTGGCTACAGGGCTTAGTGAGTGATCTTAGTTTAATACAAAAAAATTTTAATAGTATTTTGTGACAATCAAAGTGTCATACATCTCATCAAGAACTAGATGTACCATGAATAAACAAAGTATATCGATGTCAGATATTACTTCATTTGAGACATTAGATCATAGGATATCGTAGTTGTGCAAAAGATATCTACACAGGAAAATCTCACAGATATGATGACCAAGGCAATCCCAGTTGGAAAGTTTAGTCACTGCTTAAACTTGATTGGAGTAGGTAATATTCACTAGTGCCCCTGAGTGGGCATCATGCCATGATAGAATGATAAAACGATAATTTCATTTGATGTTGAAGAGAATTCAAGCTTAGAGAAAGATTTGTTGATGTAACTTAAATTCTGGGGGGTATCATATTTGGTCATGGGGATATTTGTGTAATTATCTTGGAGATTATTTTATGTATATTCTGGAGAGTTCTGTGAGAAAAAAAACTCATAGTTATCTATATATTAATATGCTAGCTTATTGGTGATGTACTCTATAAAATTATTATAATGAAAAACTTTTTTATTGGTCTTACCTGTAAATGTAGACACACAGCTAAAGCACATTAAATCTTGTGTTGTTTTTTTTTTTTTTTTGCTTTATACTTTGTTTTGATTGTGTGTGGTTTAGGGATTAATTTTTCTAACAAGTTGTGACATCCAATGGTAATGATATATTCTTTTTTATTTGCAAGTTTCTCAAGATCAAATGAATCTTGTGTATTATGACAATTTATCTACTCTTAAAATTGTTGAGAACACGATCTTTCATGAATAGACAAAACATATTAAGATAAATTGTCATGTGATTTGCCAAAAGATATTAGAAGGACTTGTTCACTTACTGTTTATTTTTTTTTCTCATTAGTTAATGGATTGCTTCACGAAGCCTATTACTGTTTCTCATTTTCATAGTGCATTATCAAGTTAGGTATTCAAGATTTGTATACTCCAGCTTGAAAAGGGGGGGGGGGGGGTGGGGAGGATATTATACATATTTCGGGTCATAATATAAATTTTATAAATACAGGGGTGATACTATAGCATATTTTAAATTTAGGGTCATTTATGTTATTAAGATAAATTTATACTTGTGTATAGATACCTTAACTTTACGGATAATAAATATTACATCATTTTTCCTCAAATTGTTGAGACCTCTCTTCTCATTCTCCCTCTTTGTGTGCTCTCGATCATTGCTTGATTAAATCTCACTGTATGTAGCATTTTTCTTCTAAATTTTATTGCAAATTATTTTAAAAATTCGTCAATTTTTATTTTGACAAAATCATTTTTTATATTACCTATTTAACCACAAAAATAATTTAAAAACAAAAAAGTTATAGCTAGAAGCTGCAATTAAACACACTCTTAATCATTTTAGAGAAACTACATAAGGTTAATAACCAAAATAATGTATTTTTTGTGTTTAAACCTTTATTTCATGTTGGGCTATGTTAGCTCATTTTTTGTTTTGCCTTAAAACTAGGCTAGGATTTGAGTTGGGTTTAGTGTAAAAGCTAAGTTAGGTTTAGGTTTTGAATGGATTTAGGCTATTAACTCTAGTTTTAATTTTGTTTAAAATTTGATCAATCCATAGTATTAAAATATTTTAACAAAAAAAAAAAATTCTTGTAAATTTTTATATAGAATAAAAATGCTATATTTTAAATTCTATTAATTTGAATGAAATACATTACTTTAACTTCATCTATTAAAAATTTCTTATCATCTCAATATTATTGATATTACTTAATTATGGAAATATTTTATTTTCAAAATATTTTATATTTATTATAAAAAATTTGCATTTATCATAAAAAATAATTTATATTTATCAAAAAAATATGTTAGTATATCTTGAAAAATTTTGTGAAAGAGAAACTCTTATATATATGGACTTAAAATTCTATTAATAATGTATTATCAAATTATCATAGTAAACTTTTTTTTTTTAATTTTGTTCGTAAATATAAATATATTTTATATTTATCATAAAAAATATATTAATATATTATTAAAAATTTAATGAAAGAGAAACTTTTATAATTTCTCTATATATGATCTTAAAACTTTATTAGTAGTATACTATTAAATTATTATAGTAAAAAAAAATTTCTTAATTTTATTTTTAAATAAAGACATATTTCATATTTATTATAAAAAATATATTAATATATTTAAAAGAATTTTGTGAAAAGAAAACTCATATAATTTTTTTATGGATGAGTTTAAAATTTTATTAATAATGTACTTTCAATTTACTATAATAATTTTTTTTTTCTCATTCTATTTTGTGGATGTAAGTATACTTAGATTCATTAAATTTTATATTTTTTCTTATTTTTTGTGTACTATATTGTGATTGTGAGCATAATAAAAATTAATGCTCCCGACAAATCTAATTTTATATTTTAATTAAAATAAATTCTTGTCCAATAAACCCAGAAAGGCTAAAAGTGTAAATTTAAAAACCTAAAACCAGGAGGCTGGTAGGTAGATTTTGGCTCCTTGGAGTCACTAGGGTATGTTTCTGCTTTTCGCCACCTTGCCTGTCAACAGATGCCAAAAGCCAAAACCCATTTCTCTCTCTAATGATAGCCGAAGATTAAACCTCTTTAAGTACACGACTCTTCAAAACCCACCATCGGATTCTCCGCTCTGCTCTTCTTCATCTCTCAAAGCAGCCTCCACAGACCTTAATCCGTCGTCCTTCTCTTCTCTGTAAGTCTTTTTCGTCTGTAGATGTATATTTCGTGCGCTTATGTGTTTGTAAATGTATCTACGTGTATATGAAATCTCTTATTAACGATCTGTGCATCAATCGTTCTGGTTGTTGTGTTTTTCGTTTTTCTGATCTTTGGGAAGTTGCTGGCTCCCTTGGCTGTACTGTAGTTTTGTTGAGATTCGAGGGCGGATTTGTAATTTTTGGGAGATTCTGTGGTTTGGGTAAGATTAAGAACTGCTATCGCTTTCGTGATATGGGAACTCTTTTTGCGGGACATGTAGGGCGTGTCTTTTTGCTTTGCGTTTGGGGACCAGTAAAACTTTTCTTGGGAAAAATATCGAAGGAAAATTGATGGCCGTTGTATGAAAATCTGGACGTAATTTTTTCTTTTTACGACTAGGTTTTGGTAAAATGAAATTTCTATTTTTTTTACGCGAGAAAAAAGTTTCAGTGCTTATTTGTTTGAGTTGATAAAAGATTCATGCAAGATTTTTCTCTATGTTGATTTAATCCCCGGTCATTTTTCAATTCAAGACTTATTTGTTTCAGTTTTCAGAGGCCTGCAAGATTTTCTTATTAACGAGTTAATCTCGGGCCAATTAGCAAGCTCTTAAAGAAAAAAAGGAAGTAAGGCTCAAATTTCTTCAGATAAAATCTCCTGTCTGGAGCCTCGTTCAGTTTCATTCCTCCCTTTCAATATTGTTTGTCTTGGTCATTAGTTAAGTGATTCTTACTGTTTGACTTGTACAGATGGAATTTACATGTAGTTTGTATGTTTTATGGTGTACAGGAAACCGTGGACGTTTGTTGCTTGTTTCTTTTGTAAGTTTATTTGAGATTGTTGTGGTCTTTCTTTCATTTCTATCTTCTCTGCTCCTATATTTTTGGATGGAATAACCAGAGGCTTCAGCCTTTGGCAGAAGCTTGAGATTGAGCTAAATTCTTTTTAATGCTGTTAACATCTACTGGTATTCTTTTGTGGGAAGGTTTTCTACTAGGAAATCATGTAGTGTTCATGTTCATTTGTTTTTTGTCTTTAATATTACTTGACTATCAACACAATGGTGGACTTGGACTTGGACGTGGAATTTGAGTTTTCCCATTATTAATGTATTGATCAGATGTAGTACTTCAATCTGAAGTTTTGAATGTAGGTACTAATTGTGTATAGAATGAGATTATTCGTATAATCCATGATTGGAGCCTCGAGTGAAGGGCAGAGATCTATAATTTTGCATCTTCTCATACTGCTCCAAAGATTAATTGCTTTGTTGAGTCTGAAATGGATGGCAGAGTTCCATTTTCTGCTTTCTCATAACAAGGTTCATATTGCTACACTATCAGCATAAAAAGTGTTTTGCATTGTGTTCATAAGTTATCAGATGAGCATGGCAACAGGTGGGGCGCAAAGGGCTATCACCTTGATGGTCCTTTTTGTAATTTTCATTGATATAAGGATAAGAATCATTTGCTACACTGCAATCAATTTTGAATGTAGGTACCACTTGTATATAGAATAAGATTATTCCTATAATCCATGATTGGAGACTCGAGTGAAGGGCAGAGATCTATAAGTTTGCATCTTCTCATACTGCTCCAAAGATTAATTGTTTTGTTGAGTCTGCAATGGATGGTAGAGTTCCATTTTCTGCTTTCTCATAACAAGGTTCATATTTCTACACTATCAGCGTAAAAAGTGTTTTGCATTGTGTTCATAAGTTATCAGATGAGCATGGCAATAGGGGGGTGCAAGGGGCTATCGCCTTGATGGTCCCTTTTGTAATCTTCATTGATATAAGCATAAGAATCATTTGCTACACTGTCAATCAATTTTGAATGTAGGTACCTCTTGTATATAGAATAAGATTATTCCTATAATCCATGATTGGAGCCTCGAGTGAAGGGCAGAGATCTATAAGTTTGCATCTTCTCATACTGCTCCAAAGATTAATCGCTTTGTTGAGTTTGAAATGGATGGTAGAGTTCCATTTTCTGCTTTCTTATAACAAAGCTTATATTGCTACACTGTCAGCTTAAAAAGTGTTTTGCATTGTGATCATAAGTTATCAGACGAGCCTGGCAACAAATGTGGCACAAAGGGCTATCACCTCGATCGTCCTTTCTATAACTTTAATTGATACGAGGATAAGAATCATTTGTTGTTGACTTGGTCTGGAACGGTCTTGCAACACCGTCAATCAACCTTGCACTAAACAAAAGATTTGAGTAATAGGTGTTAGTGGTAACTGATTATCAAATATTCTTCTAGTATTTCAGGGTTGGCCATTGAAAACATGCAAAACCAAGTAACATTCGTCAGTTGTGGTTTGATAATGACCTATTTGCTTTTACTTTCTGTTATTGAACCTTCTCTTGTGGTTTTGTTTCATTTTGTTCTTGCAAATGCTAATTCTGTCATCATGCCTGTCATTTGATTTCCTATCACGCATAATTTTGATTCAGGGGCAAAATGACAAGTGTAAGAGTTTTCTCTCCTTCCATGCTCACGGCTGCACCTCAGAACCGACTCACGAGTGCCAGGATTAAGACTCAAGCCTCACTGGGATCTGTAAGGAACATTTCCAAGTTTTTTGGGTTGAAATGTTCATCCAACTTCAAATCAACAATGACTGCGTACAAGGTTAAGCTGATCGGACCAAACGATGAGGTGCATGAGTTTGAAGCACCAAGTGATACATACATCCTAGATTCAGCTGAGAATGCCGGAATCGACCTGCCATATTCCTGCAGGGCTGGTGCTTGTTCTACCTGTGCAGGGCAGTTGGTCTCGGGTTCGGTGGATCAATCTGATGGTTCCTTCCTTGATGAGAGTCAAATAGAAAAGGGTTATGTGCTGACTTGTGTCTCATATCCTACTTCTGATTGTGTGATTCACACACACAAAGAATCTGATCTTTACTGAGTCATTTTCTAGCTAGGAGCATATTTAGGATGTTTTTACAGTTCAGTGTGAAGCACCCGTGATAGTTTCGTATCGTTTTATGGGACATTTTGCAATATATCATCGTGTTTGTGATGGGAATGCCATCCATCGTATTTCAAGACTTTATTTTTAATTGCAGATACATGTTATAAATTGAGGATGATGGTGCAAATAAACTTAATTTAAAGTTTGTGTCATGAGGGTTAAAGTGGTTTTTTATGGCTGAGATGTAACTACTTATATATCTATACGAGCATATATTTTTGGTTAGATTATGCAACTGATTGAATGTATATAACCAAGCAGGCTGTTCTGGTACATTATCTTATATAAAAAAAATACTTTCTTTTATATGTGAAGTTGGTCAATTAGTAATTTACAGGAGAAAATTGCTGAATTTTCTGAAAACTGAAGAAAATTTCTTCAGTTAGTTTAGTACTCATTAGTTGTGAAATTGTGAAAAGAAAATTTAAACTTTGTAATGTCTTGAAAATTGTTTCCAAATTATATTTTGTAATTAAACATTTGAAAGTTATATGTATGTATTTTATATGATGAGAATACAATGTCAAATAATACATATGGCCTATGTATTAGGTTTTGTCTGGCATGGTCAGTAGTGTTTCTTAAAAAAAGATTTCAGTAAAATCACTTTTGTGAAAATTTTATTGTGTTTAAGTTAACACTGCTACAAAAAGTGCTTCTAATATAAGATATAATACAGTGCTTAATTGATTAAGATATAAAATTAATAATAGATATATAGAAAAGTACGTAATAATTAAATAATAATAATAATAATAATTTTTTTTTTTGAAAAGAATTTATATTTTTATATATTTATTTTATTCAATATAAAAATTAACAAAAATAAATCAATATTATCTGTTATTATGTATTTTAGTTGAAAATATTATTTGTCTCCTTACAGAACAAGTTATTTATCAAAACCATTAATTTTTTAGTTTTTGATTTTGTTTTTATCAAAAATAAAATAAATTTCACTAATATATATATATATATTTTAGTGATTGATTAAGCTCATACTTTATAGGCTGAAATAGACACTTCACATTACATAAAGATATTTCAATAATATTAAAGTAAATTCAAATGTTTTCCAAAAAAAATAACATATTCAAACAATATATACTGAGACATTTTTAAAGACTAATTGGGTTTATCTTATAATTATTAAACATTATCATCTACAGTATAAAATACAACAAGCATAAATTGAAGTCATTGATTTCTTCCATATAAATAATACTGAAAATACTACTTAGAGCTAATTTCAATAATTATTTAAGTTATTATTAATATCTTATAATTAAATATTATTACGTGCAACATATATATATGTGTGTGTGTGTGTGTGTTAATGGTTATACAATACCAACACATGAGGTGTTACAATCTCAAAAGTTTTATGAAAATTAGGTAATACTAATTTCAATAGCCTTATGCATGCAAAAACTATAGCTTTTGAGAACAACATATGTTTTTGTTTCCTCGGCACATTAAGTACACATCTTCAATGCTACTGTATATAAAAAACGACATTACTAACCATTCATAAATTTCATATTTTATTTTTGAATGCAATTTTTCACTCATCTTCTTCTCTCATCATAAAATTTGATTATGTATCTAGGCTTTAAATCAATTTTACTGAAAATAGTATGTTTACGTCATTCTTTTAACATGTCATCTAAAATAAGAATGAGATAGTGATACTTTACTATTATGTTGTTCATAGTTATGCAACTAACGTACATCTTTTAAAAACCATCTTTCTCGAGAATAAAAAATACTGAAACTGCACAATGGCTCAAACTCTCTATAAAATAGCCCTTTGCCATTTAGCTTTTCAACATTCCTCTAAAGCTTTTATGTCTCCCCTGGATCACTTTTTTAGACTGGTTGACTGAGAGTGGTAGCTCCAATTATAAAATCAATTTGATGTTCAATGCCTCAAATAGGTGGTAAAATAGTACGAACATCCTCAGGAAACACGTAATCAAATTCCTATCACAAAGAGACAACAACACTTGGAAGAGAGGGGTTAAGGTCCTTTAGTACTGAAATAAGGCTTCTTATACACATTTAAAAATGAAGGTTGTTCAGTAAGATAAATATCTTTAACATGTTTCTCTTTTGTATAAAAACTCACTTTTATATTTTTTCTCTCTCATCTTTTTCCTTTTATTTGCTCTTTCGTGGCCTTTCTTCTTTTGTGCCGTTTATTTATTTTATATTGCTTTCTCTTTTGAGCTCTTGGTCTCTCTAGTATTTTCACTCTCTTTTCTTTCACATTATTCTCTTTTTGAACTCTCAGCCTCACTCTTTCTTTTCAACTTCAATTTGTCCTAATAGATCTATTTTGGAGTCAACAATACATGAGTAACCTTTTAGTTATTTATTACAAATGAGTACCTATTCTTAAAACCATCATGTGTGACCTTTCTATCAAATTACCAAGGCCTCCCAAAAGTATATGACTAGCATATATAAGGACTACATCGCATAACACATCATCATTATACCTACCAAATTAAAGAAAGAAAATTAAGACTTGCTTATTAACCTTAACTTCCCTATATTCATTCAATCACTGCAACTTGTAACATCTTGGTTGTTTAGTTATTAGTAAGTTTAATTTATCAAGTAATACAGTACTAACAATATTTATGCAACTTCCCTCATCTATTATCATATTGCACACCTTGTTATTTATGTGGTAGTGAATGTGAAAGATATTCTCCATTTGCTACTCTATACTATCTTCTTTAATTTAAAAATTCAAGCCACGTCCTGTCATAAGTAATTTTCTCTTTATTGGATATTCAAATCCATCATCACTATTTTCAAGTGAAGGCATTAAATCATCATTTTCACTTTCAATCACCACTTCTCCATTATCATGCAAGATCATGATGTTTTCACATCATAAAGTTATATGTCCTGTTCCCATGTACTTGAAACATTTTATTTCTCTATTTCTAGAGGGTTGGGAATCATATTTACCTTTGATTTTGGCAGGAGCTTTGTCTTTGCCCTTGGATGTCTCCTTAGGAAAAACTTTGTCTTCCTTCTTTGAATTTGCTCTCTAAGAGGAGCTAGAGCCTGAAGTGTACTTTCTTACCCAATCTTCATAAAGGAACAAGACATTGTAAGAAAAAACCTACAAAAAAGGTTAATAAAGAAAATAATACTCCCTTACGTGTTTCACTCACATTTACAAGCTTTTTACCTCTTAGTCTTCTTCCCTTAAGTTGAATAATAGAATAGAATTGTCTTGAATCAAGGTAATCAAACTTTATTTTAGGATAATTCAAGGAATCTTTGGGAAAGAAAATAGGTAAATAGATCTAGATGATAACCTAATATAAACATATAAATGAAGAGGATGTATGTTTGTGTTTAATGTTAATTAACTAGACATAGTTACCTACTTAACAATGTCATGGAACATGAGCACAATGAAAGAAAGAAACTAAGAGTATAAGAAGATGATATTTATAGATATGATGATAGTTTCAGCTTGTCCTTAAGGAAAAAACAGAAGATGCAACCTAAATACTACACCCAATTAAAGCTACATTCTAATATGATGATTTAGTTTAAGGCTAATGTGATGTGTATGAATGGATGCATGTTGACCTTAATATGGAAAGATCGCACCTTTATGTGATGGAAGTTTCGGTCTTGAAACAATATGATAAAGGGTTACCTTGATCAATTAAGGAATCGTAATAAAACAAGCAATTGAACAAGCAAAAATGGATTAACCGATTTGAGTGATGAGGAATCGATTTTGTTTTTGTTTTTGTTTTTTTTTTCTGATTTTTTTACTAAGATAATAAATTGATCACTTGAAATAAAAATGACCAAAGCTTCAGGTAACCATAAATATAAACTTAATGATGATGCTAATCGAAATAATAAGTAAGGAAAAACAAATCATTTCTGCTCCTTACTTGGTAATAAATGTGCAACGATAAAATATGCAAGATAAAAAAATTTATTTCGGGTCTAAAATTTAATACAAAATGATGCAGAACTTAGGATCTCTAATGCAATCTAAACCCATATATACAAAATTATAGCACATAACCTTATTTCCTAATTAAACCATCTCTATTTAATATGTTGAGGAATGAACTAGCATTGAGGTTTCCAAGTTCCCACACACCATAAAATAATAAAATAACTTCGGAAGGTACCTTGCACAGTAAACTTTTAAAGTTTAAATAGTACATTCCTTGCACAGTTGAGTTAAAAGATCTAATATCTACATAGCATATTAGGCACTAAAATAAAATATTACCATAAAGCAAACAATTAACCTTAAATATATTCTGGACGGAATAAAATAAAACAATCTTCTAGCTAATCTTTCGTTGTTTAGGAACTGGATCTTGGACTTCTTGATCTTAAATAATGAATAAGGAATATGATGAGGTATATTAACTCAATAAGAATACTAAAAAACCCTACAACCATAACAACAATCAAAGTGTTGTAGAAAACCATAAAAAAACTGATGGAGTAATCACTTTTAATGAAAACCAAATGCTTGTGCATCATTTTCCTTTTACTAAAACCATCTTTTTTCTTTACTAACAAACACTCGAACACATAGTATCAAGATATCATCAGAACACAACAAAAGACATAATTAATACACATCTCGATAAAATGTGAATTATAGGGTTCCTTACCATTTCACTATCAATTAAGCTTGCTTACCATTTCCATTTCCATTTCCATTTCCATCACATGTGTTGTTTCCCTTACCAGTATCATTGGGGGTCCATATAGATCCTTTTACATGTGGATACACAATATTTCTTTTATAATCATCGACCGTTCTCATATCTAATCCAATAATGGGTCACTTTTATCGGCCATCTCCATACCTTATCCAGTATGAGCATTGTTATACTATCTCTTAACCCTGCCTGGTATGGGACTTTCTAGCCCCGTATGACTGATGACATATCCACTATAGGGGTTCACCCTATGTATTAAGCATATTCTCTTTCCCATGATACATAGTAAACATTTTCTTATCTTAAAATTATTTCCATTCATATCCCATCTTTAATTTATTTAACTTCAGTAACCCAAACATTCTTGAGATTACATTCTTTTTTTTTTTTACTCAAAATATAAGATTTGTATTTACAAAAAAAAAAAATAAGATTCACA